GTTTATCAAAAGATCATGAAGATATATTCTTGTTAATAGATAACAAAGTCAATAGAACAAAGAAAAAAAATAAATAACTAAATAGTATATTAGCAATTAATGCTAACAAGAGCTGCAGAAATTCAATAATTATGCAAAATAGCTTTATTTTATTTTTTTATTTTTTTAATATTAAAGGTAAAATCTTGCTTTTATTTTTATTAGATTTAACAAAAACTCCTTACATAGTCAGAAAAAGTTTTAACTCTTAAATCTAAAACTAAAAAAAAAAGAACTTAGATATAAATCTAAGTAAACCTAAATATTTATCTGTAATCTAAACCTACTGGAGTGACCAAGGCTTACTGGATTTGAGAATAAGTAAAAATAATAGAGAGATATAAGAAAAATTTGATTTAGTTCAAGTATCATGTCTTAATTTTGTAGAGATTATTGGATATAAAAGAATTAGAGAAATTTTTAGAAGAAGAAATTAAGTTTGGATTAGATAAAAGAGCAAGATTAGAAGCAGTACTATTAGTACTTGGAGTAAGGTTGGATTGCAATCTTGAAATGCAGTAGGGAATTAGATATTTGTATAGATTTGTTAGTTTAGGTAGAGTAGAAATTGAATAGTAAGGGAGCAAGCAGTTTTGTTAAAGGATGTGTATTTATATAGTATATTAATAATATCAACTAGAACTAGGCAGAGAGTGTAAAGAACAAGAATAGTTTGAATATAAAAGAGTGAATTTGTAATCTATCAAGGTTTTTAATTTGGTTAAGATGAGATATTTAGGTTTGTAAAATTTGAAGTTTACTAAGAGTTAAAATATGCTGTAAAGAGATATTAAGCAGAATTAGAAGAGGCTTTGAAGAAAGACAAAAAGTCCAATAAAGTGTATAGATGGGTTGTTGGCAATAATAACAGAAGTTAAAATATGAGGGATATCTCTTGTAAAGAATATGTGGAGATGGAAGATTATTAAGTAGTATTTAACTCTAAATGTTTTAAGTACAAATAATTGAAAGCTATAAGAGAAGTTTGAAATTTTCTGATTATTATTAAGATAAAGCCAAGTAGTGTCTCAATGGATATCTTGTAAGAGACTAGACTATTGTAAAAATAGTGTTAAGAAGACCATTGTGTAAAAATATTTGTATTACAAATAGTTCTAATACTAGATAAATAGAGAGCTCTAAAAGATAATTGTTAAAAGTTAAAATAAAGAATAGATTATAAATATTATGAAGGTTGAAAATAAGAAGTGGTATATTAGAGTAATTACAAGCAAGTTTATTAGCTTTGTTATTAAATTTATTATCCTGGTGTGTAGGAACTTTATGAAAAATAATTGAAAGGTTAAAGAAGAATAAAAAGTTTAAGAGTATGTTCCAAATAGACTGATAAGAGTATTTATATAATTTGCAGATGTAGAATATAGGAGGCTGTTGTATTTAGAGATAACTAATTAGAAATCAGTATAGATATGAATAGTAGAATTTTGTAATACTATGCAAATAGTTAACAGAATTGCTAAAAAGTTTGTCTTAAAAAAGCAGGATCAGGATTTGATTTGGGCTTGAAAAGTATAATAAATAGTGCTATTGTCAATTTTAGCTATCTAATATCTATAGAGCACTAAAGGGTGCCTAGATTTGTGACTAATTTATCAGTATAAAAAGTAAAATTAGAAAGACTGCTATTTTGAGAGGTTATAAGTTACAGTGTATTAAATACAGAACTAGATTAGAAGATTAGAGGAATTTGAGTATCTAAGATATTAATATTAGGTGAAAGAGTGAGAAAACTAAATTGAAAAAGTGTGATAAAATATAGGAGACCAAAGTAATTGGCATAGAAGTCAAGTGTTTTGTTAGAGGTAAGTTTGCCAAGAAATTTTGTAGTATGACTTGTAGAGATAAAAACAATATATTTGTTGTCAATAATATTTGTATTTAAAGAATAGTTGGTATATAAAGTAGTGATAATGAGAGATAAAAGATAAAGTTGAAATAAGAGGTTTATAATATTATATTGCTAGTAGTTAATAAGAGTATAACTAGAAGTGTTGAATTGATAGTAGGCTTTACTAACAATGATTTGTTTTTTTAATAAAGAAATAAGCCAGAACTTGGAGTATTTATAAAAGTGTCTAGTATTAAAACTGTAATAATTAGAAGAGAATAATTAATAGTTAGATAATAGAGTATAGTTAGGTAAATTAATAGATTGGCTTTTTAGAAAGGTAAACCAAAAAGTAGTTTTTCATTTAGAATTTTATTAAATCTAGAGAAGATATGTTTCTAATCTAAAAGACAAGAATTGTTAGATATAATTAATTAATTAAGAAAAAGTATATAATAGTAAGGGATATCTATAATTTATGTTAAATTAGTACAGTATTGTATAAAAATAGAGACCTTGAAAATAACTTCATATAGTATTATTTTTGTATTATCTTTAAGATTCCTATAACAATGCTGGTTTAATGTAAATTATAGACATCTCCTAATAAAGTTGTTTTTTAAAAGTAGGATATTTAGGATGAGAAGTGAGAATTGATTCAAGAGTTATTGAACCTTCTTGAATAGTAAAAAGAATAGGTAAGTAGGTACTAGAGTTAAATGAGTAATTAATATTATTACAAAGTTATTTCTTTATAAAATTTATATAGGTTTACAACTTTATATAGTTATTATATAAAATTCTATATAAAAATTATATGCTAATTTTTATAAAATTTATATATATAAAATTCATATAAACTTATATAAATATAATTTATAAAAAAAAATTATATAAATGTTATATATATATATTATAATTAAATAGCTTTTAAATAATATAATATCTAAATAAAATTTTTATATAAACTTTATATATTAATAAATTTTATATATTATAAATATAATTTTTATATATTGTAATTAATCTAAATGTACTACCCTCGAAAGAGGCGTGGATTTGGCCGGTAAATGGTTTATTACTAAGGTAAGATATCCCAATCTGCCTTTACATATAAACAAATACTATATATATATACTATTTACTAATCTACTATATATGCTAAATCTACCATATATGCTAAATCTGCCATATGTGCTAAATCTACCTTATATGCTCTATCTACGAATTCTAACATATCTACCCGCTCTACTAAATCTTCTAATATTTCTTAATATGGTTATATGCAATCCCAAACAAATATGCAATCGATCACCAAATACAATCATAATTGTCGATCCTATTCTTTTAATTGTTATATTTTCCTCCACTTAGCTTATTCATTCCATGAACTTCATCAAATCCTCCAGGATCAAATATCTTCAAGGCCAATTGAAGCAGAGATAAGTACTGGGATATTGCTTTATTTATGGCTGTATCCTCATGGTCATCAGAATTCGAATAACCTAATTCTTTACTAACTCTCACTGAAGATCTTTCGCTTCTTTCAACTTCAATCCCTTTTTGATATCGTCCTTTCAAGTTATCGCATCCGTCATCAACAAATTTCAATTGTTATTTGAATACTTTAGTGTTTTTGGTCCTAACTTCTTTTTCGTAATGATCTCCAGCCAGGTATGTTTCATCAGCATCACCTGACTTTGCTGATCTTTGATAATAGGCGAAAGCCTTATTTTCATTATTTTCTTCTACTCTGATTCCATTTCGATACCAATTATCGATATGCTTCATATCTTCTTCAGGTTCTTTTTCGGTGCCAAATTTAGTTGGGTTATTGTTCTCTTTATGTAGGTCAGGTTCGTTTAGATCTTGTACTTTAAGACTTCTGGCCTTTCTCTTGAACACCTCTACCTTCTTTATCCATATCGCACAGACATGGTTTAGGGCATCGTTATCAGTGAATCTTTTAAGTCTTTTATTTTCTGCTGATTCTTTATTCTCTGCTTTATAATTATCCCTTTTAACTCCAATTTCATTGTTTTCACCAGCGTGATCCACTTCGACAGGCATTTGGAGATCCACTTCGACTTTCTTTTCAACTTTTACTCCATTTCCTTCCTCATAATGATATCCATCTTTATATGTTCCATCAACATGCCTAATTTCTGCTGATTTTTGATGGTAAGTGAATGCTTTATGCTCTTCTTTTCTTATCTCAGTTCCGTTTTGGTTGCGATGTCTAAAGTTACTTAGTTATGGATTTCATGATTTGTTTTGACCGATTCTTGATGACATATAAGCGCTTCATATTCATTTTCAGCTCCAATTACTTCGTCTTTTTCAACTCTAATTCATTCAGCTTTTCCAACTTCCATCCATTTATTTTTTTCAACTTCAGTTTATTCGTCTTTCTCAATTCTAATTTGTTCAGCTTTTTTAACTTCTATCCATTCATTTTCTTTATCATTTATAGTTACATTTTCTAACACTTCCAAAACAAATTCTAGAGCCTGGGGAATTTGTTTATTGCTGATTTCTAAATTTCTGAATTTTTTATCGATGATTTCTTGAACCCTCTTAGCTTGTTCTTGGGTAAGTGTTGTGAACAGTTTTGCATATTTTTTTTCTAACTCTTTCACATTCAGATACGTATTTTTTTCATTTTATTCTCTTGAGTCTTTGTCCTTCTTTTTCGACTTCTGTATGGGTTTTTATAAATGATATCGATTTCTTTCTGATAGTTTTGCTTGTTTAACTCAAGGCTTCAAATTTCTCTCTCCGTGTTTTGTCTTTTTCTTATTCTCGCTTCGATATGCCTTGGTTTCTGTTCAGTCGTTTCTTGATAAATTTCATACATTTTTTTTTTTTTTTTTTGGTAAGTTTTATTTCTTCTATTAAGATGCCAGGACACTGGTAACCTGGGCTGGATTTGTCCAAATTTCTTTAAGACTAATTCTCATAGTTTCAGTTTTTTCAACAAGATACGAGGTTCGGTTTTTGTTATAGTTTTCAAGCAAGAGGTAAGGTTTTTATACTGTTTGACTAAAGTTTGTCACTTCGATAATTTTTCCGGCTTGACTTTAAAGTTTATCCATCGATCGCTAATGTCTGTTACTTAGATAATTTTCTCGTTTTAATTCAAAGTTTGTATCGATCCCTGTACTAAAGTCTGTCACTTAGACAATTTTTCCAGTTTATCAATTTTGACTTCAGAAATTATTAAATTTATCACTTCTAGTTTATCTTAAACTTCTGCTTTACCGTTTTACTTTATGCTTCAGCTTTGTCTTTAAACTATGCTTCGACTTTGCCTTTTTACTATACTAGTTGTGTCCTTAAAGTGTTCTTTAACTATTTCGTGGTTAGTTACTTTGTTTTCCTTAGTGCCTTTTTCCCAATATTTGTGCTTTCTATATTTTCCTTATATTGAATAGGGTACGGACGAATCTCACAGTCACCACCAAATGTAATTAATCTAAATGTACCACCCTCGAAAGAGGCGTGAATTTGGCTGGTAAACAGTTTATTACTAAGGTGAGATATTCCAATCTGCCTTTACATATAAACAAATACTATGTATATATACTATTTACTAATCTATCATATATGCTAAATCTACCATATATGCTAAATCTGCCAAATATGCTAAATCTACCTTATATGCTCTATCTACTAATTCTAACATATCTACCCGCTCTACTAAATCTTCTAATATTTCTTAATATAGTTATATGCAATCCCAAACAAATATGCAATCAATCGCCAAATACGATCATAATTGTCGATCCTATTCTTTTAATCATTACACTATATTTCATGAAAAAAAACAAATTAATGAAAATGAGACTGCTCATTGAAAGAAATTTTATTGATTAATTGTTTTATTAATTGAATTTTCAACATCAAATAATATTCCAATTGATTTTGCAGTTCAACAATTAAATGGTTTGGGATTAATAGTTAACTATTTTTATTTTATTAGTAATGATGAGTTTAAAAAATTATTAGATTATTTTAAGAAATATTGTGTTGAATGTTATAAAAAATTTCAAAGCAATGTATTTATTTATTTGAACCTAAAAAATAGGCTGGCTGACTTTTTTTAAAAAATATTCAAGTTTTGGAAATTACCCTTCTGGGATAAAAAATTAATTCTGCATGGCTTTACTATATTATATTAATTTTAATAAGTAAAATTAAGAGTTTAATTAATTTAAATTAAGAATTTAAAATTAAAATAAATAAGCTTTAATTTATTCTGTTATAAAAATATTATTTTCAGTAATTTACTAGAGCTTTGAACTGTTGCTTTCTAGAGAAATGACCCATTATCAGCTTTGACTAAATTTAAACCAAAATTAATAATGAATAGATATAATTAGATATCTAATAGATGCAAAATATTTTAAAATAACCAATTTTATATTATTAGATATTGTTATTTGTTTTCGGCATCTCAATTAACACCTTAGTAAAATTTTAATCTTGTAAAATCAAATTTAATATAAAAAATGATTCCTAATAATTTATTATACTATTACTGTGTAAACTTAAAGCTAGTTTTACTTAGTTTTGATTAAAAAAAGGTTAATTTGGACCAAAAGCTGAAAACAGACTGTGCAACAATTTAGCTATATAAAAAAATAAGCACCAATTAAAAAAATATTTTCTCACAAGTATACATATAAATAAACTGTATTTTATTTTAAAACTACAGTTTATTTATATTAACTACTACTTATAAGGAACACTCAGCCCATGTAAACTTTAAAAGAAAGGAAACTAGTTTAAGAAGCACAATTAAAATATATTTTTCACAAGGATTCAAGTTTAATGCAGAAAAACATGTATAAATTTTAAAAAAAAATTTAGCTATATAAACTTTAAAAAGAAAAAAAAAAACTAGATTAATTTGATTGTGAAACAATTTAGCCATATAAAAATGAGCACCAATTAAAAAAAACAAATTTAGATATACAATGTAATCTTTAAAAAAAAAAAAAAAAACTAGATTAATTTGATTGTGAAACAATTTAGAGGTATTTTCACAAGAATTCAAATTTAAAAAAGATATTTTTTTGCAAAAAATTTAGCCATGTAAAAAATGAGCACCAATTAAAAAATATTTCTCACAAGAATTCAAGTTTAATGCAGTAAAACACTTCAGTCATTAATGTGTGTAAAACAATTTCGCCATGTAAAAAATAAGCACTAATTAAAAAATATTTTCTCACAAGAATTCACTTTAAAAAGAAAAAAAAAAGCTAGATTAATTTGATTGTGAAACAATTTAGCTATGTAAAAAATGAGCACTATTAAAAAATATTTTCTCACAAAAATTTAAGTTTAATGTAGTGAAACACTTCAGCTGTGTAAACTTTAAAAGAAAAAAAACTATTTTAATTTGATTGTAAAACAATTTAGCTATGTAAAAAATACACCAATTAAAAAATATTTTCTCACAAGAATTCACTTTAAAAAGAAAAAAAAAACTAGATTAATTTGATTGTAAAACAATTTAGCTGTGTAAAAAATGAGCATCAATTAAAAAATATTTTCTCACAAGAATGCAGTGAAACACTCAGCTGTGTAAACTTTAAAAGAAATTTTAAAAGAAAAAAAAAAACTAGATTAATTTGATTGTGAAACAATTTAGCAGTGTAATTTTAGATATTTTATTACAAAGATTCAAGTTTAATGCAGTGAAACACTTTAGCTGTTTGCTGTGTAACTTTAAAAGAAAAAATGAGATTAATTTGTTTGTGAAACAATTTAGCTATGTAAAAAATGAGCACTAATTAAAAATATTTTCTCACAAGGATTTAAGTTTAATGCAGTAAAACACTTCAGCTATGTAAACTTTAAAATAAAGATTAATTTGATTATGAAACAATTTAGCTGTGTAAAAAATGAGCACCAATTAAAAAATATTTTCTCACAAGAATTCAAATTTAATGCAGTGAAACACTTTAGCCATGTAAACTTTAAAAGAAAAAAAAAACTAGATTAATTTAATTGTGAAACAATTTAGCTATGTAAAAAATGAGCACCAATTAAAAAATATTTTCTTACAAGATTCAAGTTTAATGCAGTAAAACACTCAGGCTATGTAAACTTTAAAAGAAACTTTAAAAAGAAAAAAAAACTAGATTAATTGTAAAACAATTTAGCCATATAATTTTAGATATTTTGTTACAAGGATTCAAGTTTAATGCAGTGAAACACTTTAGCCATGTAAACTTTAAATGAAAAAAAACTAGATTAATTTGATTATAAAAATTTAGCCATGTAAAAAATACACCAATTAAAAAATATTTTCTTACAAGAATTCACTTTAAAAAGAAAAAAAAAACTAGATTAATTTGATTGTAAAACAATTTAGCTGTGTAAAAAAGGAGCACCAATTAAAAAATATTTTCTCACAAGAATTCAAGTTTAATGCAGTAAAACACTTCAGCTGTGTAAACTTTAAAAGAAACTTTAAAAAGAAAAAAAAACTAGATTAATTTGTGTAATAGTAAAACACTTCAGCCGTGTAAACTTTAAACGGAACCAAGATAAGAAAAAAAGAGCATAAAGCATCCACTCACCATCAAAAATCAGCAGAAATTAGGCATGTTGATGGAACATATAAAGATGAATATCATTATGAGGAAGGAAATAGAGTAGAAGTTGAAAAGAAAGTCGAAGTGGATCTCCAAATGCCTGTAAAAGTGGTTCACACTAGTGAAAACAATAAAATTGAAGTTAAAAGGAATAATTATAAAGCAGAGAATGAAGAATCAGCAGAAAATAAAAGACTTAAAAGATTCACTGATAACGACGCCCTAAACCATGCCTGTGAAATATGGATAAAGAAGGTAGAGGTGTTCAAGAGAAAGGCCAGAAGTCTTAAAATACAAGATCTAAACAAACCTGTCCTATATAAAGAGAACAATAACCTGACTAAATTTGGCACCGAAAAAGAACCTGAAGAAGATATGAAGCATATCGGTGACTGGTATTGAAATAGAATCAGAGTAGAAGAAAATAATGAAAATAAGGCTTTCGCCTATTATCAAAGATCAGCGAAGTCAGGTGATGCTGATGAAACATACCTGGCTAGAAATCATTACAAAAAAGAAGTTAGGACCAAAAACACTAAAGTATTCAAATGGCAATTGAAATTTGTTGATGACAGATGCGATAACCCGAAAAGACAATATCGTGAAGTTGAAAGAAATGAAAGGTCTTCAGAGAGAGTTAGTAAAGAATTAGGTTATTCGAATTCTGACGACTATGAGGATACAGCCATAAATAAAGGAATATCCCAGTACTTATCTCTGCTTCGATCGGCCTTGAAGATATTTGATCCTGAAGGATTTGATGAAGTTCGTAGAACGAACAAGCTAAGTGGAGGAAAATGTAATGATTAAAAGAATTGGATCGATGATTATGATCGTATTTGGTGATCGATTGTACATTTGTTTGGGATTGCATATAACCATATTAAGAAATATTAGAAGATTTAGTAGAGCGGGTAGATACATTAGAATTAGTAGATAGAGCATATAAGGTAGATTTAGCATATATGGCAGATTTAGCATATATGGTAGATTTAGTATATATGATAGATTAGTAAATAGTATATATACATAGTATTTGCTTATATATAAAGGCAGATTGGGATATCTCACCTTAGTAATAAACTGTTTACCAGCCAAATCTATGCCTCTTTCGAGAGTGGTACATTTAGATTAATTACAATAGGAATAGAGTTTTTGATTAGTTTATTAATCTTATTCTTTCATTGCTTTTCATTAGAAATTATTAAAGTTTCTATATATATAACTAAGAGCATTTAATTCTTAAAGATAATTTTTCCTATTCCAAATTATATTGAATTTGATCTTTTTTTTTAAAATTATAGAAAGCTAATGGCTATTGTTCACAAGATAGTTTGTATTTGGTATAGTTGTAATAGGAATTAATAGTTCTGATCTATTTATTCGAGAAATTATTAGATTTGCTTGTTCACATCATTCTTTGAAATCCTAAAGATTCGATAAATATAGTTAACAATTTAAATATTAATTTAAAAATAAAAATAAAAATACAAAATATAAAATGGTTGATTTCTTAATGTATATTACGAGTTTATTTTTATTAGTTTGAGAAATATCATTGCTGTCTATAACAATCTTACTAAGTAATTTTTAAAATTTTTATGAATGAGATAAGTTGCAATTATAATGTTAATAGTGAAACATATTTATATATTAACTGCAAGTGGGTGAAATCTAGCATTGTTAATCATTACAAATTGGGATATCAGTTATCGTTATTATTGAATTACTATACAGTTGTAATAAATCATTTAATTCATTACCTTGTACATAACCAACATAATTTGGCCTGGCACTAAAATTTGAAATTAATTTTTAACAAATTTATACTAGATTATTAATAAATACAAATTTTTAATATTAGTTTAATAAATTAAAAAAGCCTATTTTACAAAAATATCAATACAGATGTTCAAACTATTTACTACTATAAATTCTATTCACAAGAAAACTAATCCAAGTTAGATAAATTGAAATTTTAATATGGCACTAACCCATCATAACCTGGATGTTTGAACCCACAACTTCTAGCCTTTATTTCAGCAAAAAAATTACTTAGTTGATCTATTATATACCAAAATTTATTTTGATCAACATCAAAAGTTCTATGCACAATTGGCTCGTAAGGTTTAATATACAAATATAAATATTTTGACTTGTAGATTTAATAAAATCAACAAAAATTAGTTTGAACTTCTATGTTCTGTACTATTCAGAAGAAAGCCAAAAATATATATATGACCAGATTATTATAACCTCAAGAATTAATAAAAAAATAAGAATATTTCAGCAAGTACACAAATTCATAAGAGTTTTTCTTGCATATTTAATATATAACAAAAAAGATATTAAAGAATCTAATTTCTTAGAAATGGTTATTTTTAATATTTTTTAAAACCAAAAAATTACATCATATACTTTATATATTTTAAAATGGAATATACAATTGAGTAACTAATCAGTATTTATATTATAATTCTTTGAGTTTCATTTTATAAATTAAGTCAAATATAAATTATTATCTTCTCTTTATTTGAATAAGTTATCAAAGTTTTTTGAAATAGCAAATAAATAAACTTGGGTTATATTAGTATGCTATTATAAAATAGTTTGTAAAAATAAAGTAATATGAATAACTATAGCGAAGACAATATAAATTTTATAATTTAGATCAAATATGATTATTTATTCTTATTTGAATCAATCATCAAACTAAGCCTTTTGTAATAGCATGCAAAAATTTTGAAAGAATTATATCTGATATGTTTTAATGTGTTTAATTGTAACAGATTAGCATTATATATAATACTGTACATACCAATATAGAGTTTTTTTTAATATTTTGTAAAATAAGTAATACAAATAACCATGGCGAAGAGCATAAATTAAAAAAAAATTGAATTAATAATTTCCTTATTTGCTTATTCTTACGCTTAAACTTTCTTGAAATTTTATTGCATAGTATTTATATTTTTTCACATATTTGTATACTGAAAAAAAATTTAATTAAAAAATACGCATATTAACTATATAACAAATCAGCACTATATACATAAAAAATATTATTAATCATACTTATCTTGGAGTTATATTTAATGCTTTGCAAAATAGATAATATGAATAACCATGGCAAAGATAGCATAAATTAGAACAAAATTGGTTTAATTATTTCCTTATTTAAAAAAGTTCATTATGAAAAAATGTATAAAAGAATCATGTAAAATCTAGTTTTTGGCTAAAAATTACAATTACAAAATGTCAAATAAAAAGCTTTTAGCATTATTGCTAAGAATTGCATATTTTCTTTTGCTGAAAATTTTTTATACAATTTTCTTGACTTTAATCTTTTTAACTTCTTTGATTATTGCTATTTTGATTTTTGCATCTTCGATATTAATTTTGAATATGATTCTGAATCTATCTTTCTTGTTGTTCTCTGGTCTTGTTATCAGGTTTTCTGTATTATTTATGAGTACTATCTACAAATCTAAATCCATTTGCTCAGATAATATAATGAAAAGTAGGCATTCATCAGAACAAAAATTAATTTAACCTATCTTCATTAAGAATATCATCAAATTTATTTATCTAAAAACAAAGTCTTTTTTAATTCTAAATTTTAGGCTCTTTCTTACTTCAATACTACAATTTCCTCTTCTTTATTTAAAATAAAAAATTTTTTAACTAATTTAAATCTAAAAATCGTAAAAAAAACTTTTTACAATATTTATAAAAAAATTTATTATTTTACGCATAGTAAGGATGTTGATGAATCATTAGTTAATCACTACAATATAGATGAACTTCAGATAGAATCCTTAAGTAATCTTAAGGATAGCATAAAAAGATTAAGTCTTTTGATAGAACACTTTTATGATTTCACAATTAAGGATAAACAAAAAAAAATCTTAGTTGAATCATTTAATTGCTATTTGGAGAAAGACGCTAAAAACTTGAATATAGATAGTCTAAATATATACAAATTTTTAAGCCAGATTACTGAGCAACATAGTCTACTATGTAATAATAATCTGAAGATAAATAATTTACAACAAAAAAATTTAGCAAATCTATTTAATCATCTTCAATATTTCTTTAAAAAATTGCTAAATAAAAATGCTCAACTAAAAGAAATTAGAATGCAAGCATTTAATCTTGAATTATTCTATTTTTATCAAAGAGATAGAATAATTGGTGATAAAATCTTTAGAAAAACTCTTAAGAAGAAAGAGAATTGGCATGAAGTAAGCAAACATTGGATAATAATTTTTGCATTTTTTATAAAAAAAGCATTATTTCAAATTATTACAATCATCTTTTCATTTTCAAAAAAAAAAAAAAATTATTCATCATCAAAACTTGAATACTGAAATATTTATTTATATGTTGCAAAATCAAATTGACTAAATAATGATAATGGCTTAATTTTGTAGCTTGAGAGAAATACACTTATCTTCTACTACAATATGTTCCATTTAATTAGACATCAAAAATATTTGTGATCTAAGGTTATATTATTCTTTTAGGTTTTGCTATTAAATACTTTGCTAAAATTATTCATTTTTGCGATAGTGATAAAATATTCTCGATTATATTAATAATATAGGTCTCCAAGAGGAAGTTTTCATAACTAATCACAAATTTAGACAGATTTAGTTTATTACTAGCACTATTAACAAGGTTTTTAGACAGAGTATCTAATTGTTCATACTTGTCAAAAAACTGTGCTAAAGCCTTGTTAAAGTGCTAGTAAGAAACTAAATCTGCCTAAATTTGTGATTTGTTATAAAAATTTTCTCTTGGTGAATTATATTATTAAAATATACACTAGATCGAGAATATTTTTGTCACTATTGCAAAAATGATTTTAGCAAAGTAACTCTTTCAAAATGAACTTTATAGCAACAATCTAAATATTTACAAGTCTGTTTAGATGACGAGGCTCAACCACTTTTCCACTTTATCACAGGAATTCTTTGGTAC